CGACTCAAAAGATACAACATTGAGGGATCCCAGGGGGGTCCCGGGCCGACAGCCAGGGAGAGGGGGATCCGAGTGGAGAACCAGGTCGTCCCCACGCAGGGCAGGGAACAGCCATCTTCTGAAGGGTAACAAGTAGGAACGACTCCGGTCTTGCAATCGCGTGTTCCCCGGAGGCACGGTTCAACGAGTCCCCCGATGCAGCGCGTGACGAGGGGGTAAGGTAGGCCTTGGGGCCTAAGTCAGGTGAGCCAGGGTTGTGGGATGCATCCTGGAAATGGGCCCAAGGTAGGATGGTGAGCGGCCGCATCGGGGTGTACAGGACAGGGCCAGACGCTAACGCGGGTGGGTTCAGACTGTGAGGGGGACGGCCTGCATCCAAGACATGGGAAACCTCTCAATTTAGAGGGTGTCGGGTGTAACGACTGGGGGGTCAAAGAGCGTGTGGGGGTAGCTGTCCGGTACCTGCTGACATTCGATCTGGAAGTCCACTGCAGGGAGATGTTGGACGGGGGACGATCCCACGCCCGTCAATCATCGGGAAGTCAGGGTTCATTGATGGTCGGAGCAGGGCGGGTCGGTCTGGGCCTGCCTCGGGAGGTGCTCCGGCGTCGTCTACGTTGGGGTGCTGGGCGAGGTTCGGAGTCCAGGTCGGGGTTCAGCCAGTCTGGTACATCAACGGGTTGGGAGTCCAGGAAGGAGAATAAGTCGGCCAGTTGCAGTGGGTGGCGGAGATTGAAGGTCCGGTTGTTCCGACGGACGTTGAGACTGAAAGGGTAGCCCCAAGTATACAGGGCTCCGGCCCTACGTATCACCGCGCGGAGAGGCTGAAGGATCCTCCGCATATGGAGGGTGCGGCGGGACAGATCTGGTAGAACAGAGACATCTGCTCCGTCAAAGGGGACGGAGCCCTTCTGCCAGGCCTTGCGCATGATGGCTTCCTTCTCCGCAAAGAAATGCACGCGGCATAGGACGTCCCTGGGCCGCATATCTCCGTCCGGTCTGGGGATCCCCACGCGGTGCACACGGTCTATCTCCAATGGGGACTCCGGGGCCTTGTCCAGGATCGAGTTGAGGATGGCGGTCATAGTGGGGCAAAGGCCGGACGTGGTCGCGGCTTCCGGCAGTCCGCTTAGCTTGATATTGTTTCGCCGGGACCTGTTTTCGAGGTCGTCCTGCTGGAGCTGTAGGTCGGAGAGGCGCCATTCATAAGAGGCCGAACCCGATTCCAGGCAATTAATCCGCCGGGCCAGAGTCGCCTGGTCGTTGGACAAGGCGGTGACAGACGTTTCCAGGTGAGAGATGGATGCGTGGATGCCGGCTATGTCCCTCTTCAGTGCGGTCTCCATTTGCGAGACCATGGCGGCCATGTCCTGCCGCGTGGGGAGGGAGAGCAAGATGGCGGAGATTTCGCTAGTGGATAGCGAGGGAGATTGCGCCGGCGTCATTGTGAGTGGGAGATGAGGCTCTTCGATGGGGCTGGAGCAGTGTGTAGAGGTGGTCTCTCTACGGAGTTCGAGGTCTCTGGGATCCGGGGCGGACGGCAAGGCCGGGGATTCCCGGGGTTGAGGAGGAGTTGTAGGCCGCGAAGCCGTACCTTGCATCTCGGGGGCCATTTGCCCCTTAGAGGAGCTGCGAGTAGAGGCGGCAGGCGTGGAGAGAAATCGCTGTAAGGATGTCTGGGAGCTTCTGTCGTCGTTAGAGCGGGTTTTGGTCTTCTGAGACATCAAAAACAAGGTTTTGGGATGCCGTGGTTAAATGAAAAGTAACAGGTGATAGCAGAGTTCAAGCAATGTGCTTCCTTACGCCTCCATAGCCAAGCCACGCCCCCCCCCTTTGCCCCCTTCCTGGCACAGCAAAGGGAGGGGGCAAAGATACAAGAGGATGAGCTAGATAAGTAGATTCATACTGGTGTGTATCCTAGACCCTGTTCTGATGATGTATATAGGTTTAAGATAAGTATATATAGGTTTACTATATAAATGTAATAATTATGGCAAAAAAAACTTGAGGGGAGATTGAAAGGAATTATAATTTTTTTAACGTATGTTCCGTGTTGCTGCCTTCATTGATAGACCCACAAATGGATCCTGTTGCTGGTCTAGTTTGCTTGTGAACATAGCACAGCCTGCTCTATATGGGAGTTCCTACAGCTGCAGGAAACCATCTTCTTTGTGACTGGTGGCAAGATACTCTGTCACAGTTCAGCTGCAGCTAAGCTGTCACTTGTAGTTCTACAAGTATGTGCAGACCTCTTACCCCTGGTTCTGCAGGCATGCAGGGCTATGCTGTTGTTTCTAGTCCTCCAGACATGTGCTCTATACCTAACCTGCTCTTGCACCAGTCTGGCAGCTTTAGGTGTCTGCTGATTCTTACATTGCTTCTCCGTGCAGTCAGCTTGTGGCCAATCCTGTGAATCCTCCCTCTTGTCTACTCTATTTTAACCCAGTGCAGCGCATGGCCCGCTGCCCGAGCAACACTTTCCTAAGCTAGATGCGGAGCCCCCTGTTTGCTGTTGAATCAGAATTCCTTGAAGTTTACATGTGTACCGACCTTTGGCTTGTCCCTGAAAATCCCAGTCTTCAGTCTGTCCCTATCCCTCGGATTGTCTATAGAAGTCCGAATCATCTGCCTGTCCCTGACCTTTGATTTGCCTGTCATGTGTGTCTGCAACCTGTCTGGAACTCTGGTCTTGTCAAACATTGTTAGCTGAGTTGGGTGAACCTGGATGTCGTGACCTGACGTCAGCACACAGCAAAATCCATCTCCGCCTTCAGGAGCTCTGGGGAAGACCGTCTGGTCCTTAGACCCCACTTTCTGGGGGACCCCACGCTACTCAGCATTGCAGCACTCTGCCTAGTACTTGAACTTCGAGCTGAAGCTGACTTCCACTTACCTTATTCAGCTCCCCAGCTCCTGTCCCTGATAGATCTCCAGCTCTGGAAGTTGTCAGCTTACATTGCTTGCACCCGTGGATCTAGGGGCCCCTGCAAGTGTACCTATCCACAACCTTGATTCCAGGTCTCACCTCTGAGTCCAGTCCGTGACAGTCAAGGGTAGAAGCTGAGAAGCTGTTATAGGGAGCATCGAGGCATATAGGGCAGTGTTAAGTATGGAAATGCTGTGTGAAGTAGGAACAAGTGCTTATTTGTTTATTGAGACTATACACTGAGCTGTGCATGCAAGAGAAGAGCTGGCAGGCAGGGAGAAGCATTAAAGAGAGAAAAGACTCACAGATGATCTCTTCTTACATAAAAAGCTTACCTGTCAGTGTTATTTTTAAAAAAAAGTGTTTTACGGGTTTGAGTTTCTCTGGATTGTAGATGTTGGGAAGGTCTGCATTGGTAGTGCACTCCTCAGAGGGACAATGAGAGGGCTTGCCAACAAAATATTACAAGTCAGCCAACATCAGTGTCAAGAGTCCCTTGTATCCAGGTGTATCAAATAAATGGGTGCAGGTGAAAGTAATGGGAGTCTTTTGTTTAAAAAGACTAAGTTCTAGCAAGGACTGACATGTTAAAATAAAAAATGTGTTTTTTCAAACTGTAATTATGGCTTAGATTGTTTATATCAGCCTTGGAGACTTACAGTAAACATGATCAAAGTTTATAGCCTTTGTATAGGTTTGCTTTACACTGACTTGCTGCTGCTGATAAATCCTCATATCACATACATTGATGCACTGAATTAAACTAGTGGTGCGCTGCCCAAGTAAAGTTAGCCTATGATGTGGATGTGGAGAAAACAAGCAGAACGGTCTACAAAGGGCAATAAAATGAAAGTCCTTTTTATATTCTATTATCAGGAAGTAGCCATATATTATGATTATTTTTGTATTTTTTTTACATAATTCACACAGATATTAATCTTTTACACTTGTGGTTTGAGGATATCATAAAACCAAAATTGTACAGATATGTTTAAGGTTTAACAATAATGATCCCAGGCACATTTCTGGCATACAGAACACATTGAGGAACATTCTGCATGGACTCATGCCAATCTCATATTCAGTGAAGCTGGCAGCTTGACAATCATGTGTCTGTGTACAGCAGAATTTTTAAATCTGCTAAATTAGCTTTACTCAGCAACAATAGGTGCCAAGAAGATGAGCTGGACAAGTAAATTCATTTGATTGCTGCAAGTGAGAGCTCAATCTGAAAACAAATTGAGTAGGAATTGGTACACAGTGCAGTTTCCAAATAGCTTAATGATCCATCCCATTCTTACTGAATGTTAGTGCAAAAGTCTATTTCAGAATTTAAAGAATCTGTTTGGAATATTGTCCCTACTTACATCTAAGTTAAAGGTGGCACCCATTGGTGAGGAACATGCTTTTTAGAAATGGGAAGCTCAGTTTGAGTTGCATTCAGGTTTGAATACATTTTGTTCAGTGGGAATGACTGTTAGTAGTGCTGATTAATCTGGATTGAAGATGGTAAAATTCAACTTTTAAAAGTCAGTCATACATAGAAGTCAGCGGGGTAAGTTTTGGGCTCTAAGTCTGTTCAGCACCTACTTTGAATATTTATCGAAGCGTCAGTACTTCTTGATAAGCATTCACTCAATCTTAAACTGGTCATACATTGTTGGGATTTTGTTTGAACTTGTGTTTGAAATGGTTTGTCAGAGCATTCGATCTTACCATCATTGAGTCAGTTAATTTAGTTTGAAAGACTTAATACTTGAATGTAATCCCAGACATATTAAACAGGTTTCTTTTATGCCTAGCACATGTGCATTACAATATGTATGTTTTTTCCTGAATGAAAATCACTTTCAGTGTTCAAATTTTGCTCTTTCAGATACGAAACAAGAAATATTTTCCATCCTTCAATTTTCCCCATCACTGCGGTCCACAACGAATGTCAGTTATACCCCACTAACCACCAGTAATTCAAATGAACATTCCAAAAAATAAATGTTACTAGTGTATGGCCTGCTTTATTTGTAGTGTTACTTGAGCTTCTGTTACTAAGGTACCATGTTTTATTTTTTTCCAGACATTCTTTGAAAGGAATTGTCGCTCTGATGACTGTCCTGCTGATTTACACCTAAAAGGCCAACTACTGCTGTCAAGGTAAGTGCTGCCTTATCCTTTGATTTTAATTCTGTTAAAACATTTCAAAAGCAATGATAGTTAATGAAAACTCTGAGATTTAGGGCTGCTTTATTTGCCTAAAATATGAACTGTATTTTGCATAAATTTAGAGTAAACTTTCCATAGCAGGAGTTTCTTTGCTTGCTAAATCATTCAATAAACCTTACTGAACTCTAATATACTCTTTCATGATTACTTATGTCAAGAAGACTATATTGCTATTAGAATTACCAAATTATGTCAGGTGCTTCAATTTATATTTTGAAAGCAGAGTATTGAGGTGAATCTGATAAAGAATACAATTAATATGCAGATATAGTTAAATACAAATAGAGGTGTGTTTGTTTTTCTTCTTAAATGGTTATTAAAGCCTTGTGTTTTTTTGCATAGCAAGCAGTAGATATATGCAAAAACATTTTTTTAAAACTACCGTATAAAAGGGTTAAAACTTACCTGTGACTCCGCCGTGCGCTCCCGTCCGAACATCTGTAGATTCTCAGGCGGCCGCAAAGGATTTTGGGGCGGGCGCATGCGCAGTTCAGATCTTCGTCCAGGAGACGAGGAGAGACACAAGGTAAGTCAATGCAGCAGCATGCACCCGCACAGACACCGTGGGACAAGAAGCTAAGAAAGAGGAGTCAGCACTGGATTGGAGACCAACACCAGCGCTGTAGGGACTCCTCAAAACTACAGGAAAGAAGAAGATCAGATCAAGAGGCATCATTTAAGGTAAGTCCTTACACTAGCATTGGGGGGGGAGGGAATTTATCCTTTAATGTCACTTTAAGGCCCCCGAGAACCCCAAAACATGGGCTTTTTTATCAAGTAAATACCATGTTTCCCCGAAAATGAGACCTAGTACTATAATTGGAAATTGCTAAAATACCTACCTCGAAAATAAGACCTAGTTGTGACCATTCCCAGGGCCGGTGGTGGCATAAGGGGGAACTTGAAGAGGCAGGAGAGAATCAGCGGTGCCAATGAAGCCAGCGTTAGAGGAAGCGAGGCGGCAGCGGAGTGAGCTGAGCCGCATAAGCCGATGCTTCCTCTATAGCGCCGCCTCCTTTCACAGACGGAGTGATACCAACTGCACTCCGCCTGTGAGGAATCAATAGTGAAAGCGTGCTTCGCTTATTCTGGCCAGCGATTGGTTACCATATTGCTCTTGGGAAGGTACGGCACCCCTGATTGCCCTGATCACTATTTTAATATTTTTGTACATGAATACAAGTAGACTGTTGTACATGAATAAGTGTGGATTGTTGTACATTAAAAAAAATAAGACCTACCCCAAAAATAAGACCTAGTGTGTATAAAAAATATAAGACAGTTTCTGATTTTCGGGGAAACACGGTACCAACTTAAAGAACTGAAGTCAAGCCCTATGCCCTCTCCCCTTTTTCATCTCACATTTGAAGGAGGCTGCCTATCACAAACTGATAGACTGATAATGAGATGTGGATCATGCATTTACCTGCTTCTATTGGTTTACTTTCCTTAACTTCAAATTTAAAGTAGGTAACAGATTTTTGTCCCCACTGCAGGTATCCATATTTCTTAAAGCGGAACTACAACCTCCTATTCTTTACAGCCAAAAAAGGTGCCATCTTAGCCTCTATTTGGATTACAAATGCCAAGGTGCTGCACATGATCAGCTGTGACACCAGCCATTTGAGGACTTAAAAGTTTGGATGTGAGTTTAAGTAGGCACACTGGCATCCTTGACAGTTGGCATGTCTTAAATGTTTTAGGAGACCAATACATTGGTGGGTCTAGTTCCCCTTTAAGGGAAAAAAGTCAGCAGTAAAATTTGGCTGCTTGCACTTTTCAATTGAAATGTCACTTTACTTGATCCGATCATCTCATTCTTTCCAATAGTTTTCAGGAGTCCCTGATCTCTGATCCAGCGCTGACTGCTGTATCTTCTGATTCCCACAGTGTCTGTCCGCATGCATGCTGCCGGCTGCGTGCATTGACTTACACTGTGTCTCTCTTCTTCTCCCCGCTGAAGATCTCTACTACGCATGTGCCCACCCCATGATCCTTCTCGGCCTCTCGAGAATCTTCAGATGGGAGCAAGTGGCGGAGACACAGGTACCTATTTGGTATCTTTTTTATTTTTTTAAAAATGTTTTTGCATATAGCTACTGCTTGCTAGCAGTAGCTATATACAACAGTAGCAGTAGACTGTTACTGTTGTGGTTCTGATGTTGTTTGCTTTTGTTTTGATTCAAGTATACTGGTTATTTTATTATTCTATGATGATAATATCCATGTTGCCAAACAAAGTTCACAATCCGTTCAGTTAATTGAACAGTATCTTTTCTCTAGGAAATATCAGTTCTAACACATTCCTTTGTCCTTGTGAATGAATGTAGGAACTTTACAAGTTAAAGAGTGCTCCCTAATGGAATCTTATGTTGAACAATATACAAAATAATACACAGTACATACACATTTAATAGAAAAGTTACAGAATAGATGCCAGTATGTCTGCCTTTACCACTATAGTCTGTACTGTACACTCTAGTAAAAAAAAAGCTTGACTTGCTCCTAGTTGTATTTCAGTGAAGCCACGCACCACATGTTTTTTTTTTAAAATGAATGTTTTATCCAAGCGGTGCCTGGGCCACTTCATTAATAGTAGTGTTATGAAATCTTTAAATCTAATTCAGATTAGTTTTGCTGGTTTAAACGAATTAATGATTATTCGATTTATTTGTCTTTATTTTCAATGTTTTTATTTTTCATTTATTTTCATTTCAGTTGGAAACTGTTTCATTTATGCAGTTGTTCATTTATGTACTTTGTGGGTTATTCTTTCTTTTGCCAGTTAGCCTTTATCGAAAATAGTTGAGACTTTCATTAATAATAATAATATATA